GGGTGATTGGTTGGGGCCAGATCTGAAAACTGTTTTTAGAAGTTCAAACCTTCGTTAACAAAAAAAGAATTTATCTGGTTTTTCGAGCGATTTCGAACGATTTGCCGAAACGCTCCAAAATTGTTTGAAATGTCGTACTATGCATATATTTAAAAACTGATACCTCAGCTGTCTTAGGATGCACTAGAAGTAAATAATTCTATCCAGCACCTACTACTCGGTCCGAACAAAAAATACCGGCAAACCAGCTTTAAATATAAAAAAAAATGGTAATCATTTCTTCTCCTCTTAGCTCACATCAGGGTATTATTAATACGATAATTAAGTTAAAAATTACTGGGCCTGAAGGGGAACGATATTAGTTTGTCACTAATGCTGTAAAACTTCCGAATTGTAACTTTTGTTTTTTCTTCTAAACCCAATGCCCAAACATGTGGTTCATCATCAGGGCGTGTTTCAAGCACTTAAGGTATCTAAGTACACCTTCTTCTTGGAGTACTTGAATACCTTCAGCATATTTATCACCCATCATATGGGGAACAGTCGACTAACTTCCTTCAACAATGTTTTTCTATTTAACATTCAAACTGCTAAAGGGTAAGGTACCCACTTTCAAAAGGCTAGTTTTGCCGAAGCAGGGCCTTCCTAGCACAGGAAAAATAGTCTACCTTATTATTCGTCATTCCTTTTTGAGAGTTGTCGAAACATACTAACTTTTAAAACAATGTGTTATGATTTACTTGAGTATAAAATGATATGTGGTTCAGGGGCTACAACTTAAAAAAAAAAAACCTGTACTACTTACAATCCATGAAGGGTTGTGGGTCCAGCACTCTTTAAGGAATGTAGTGTTTCTTGATCAATGATTGTGCAAAGAGGTGATTTGACCGAGATCACGCTCCGCCACCAGGTTTTCCCCTTTAATTAATTATTTAATTTAGGGTACCCACTTTAAAGAGACTGGTTGTGTCCCAAGAATGACTCCCGACCCCTAGGTCGACCCACGGCCGATGACACAGAATAAATAATTTATCTGCCATAAGTCGGGATTCGAACCTCAGATCTTCAGTATTGGAACCTCGGCTGAGGTATTTCAGTAAAAATAATATTTTTTTCGTGTTTTAAAAGTTTCTTTTTTCAAGTTTTAATCATTCATTTATTTTTAAAATAAAAAGCTTAAAAATACAATAAAATGAAATTTGGATGACTGAAGGAAGTCAATTTATAGGAATAAGATTTATTAAATCAGAGAAATATTTCCATTTTGGAGCATTTAATTAAATTAATAACTGTTATAGAAATATATATTTCCCAATCAAGAAAGGAGAGCTTTATATCATGACTGTTAAACGTAAAAAAAAAAAACAGTTATATATTTTTTGTCATTTTACGAGAACATTTTTTTCTGATGTGTATAGCATTAGTTTATAATATTTTTTATATAATTATCAGTCCGAGATGGAATATTCAGGATTTATTTTTAAAAAATCATTATTGCACCAGGACTCAGATATGATTATTCCATTTGAAGTGCATTTATTTATTTATTTATTTGAAAATTGTATATTGTGCTCATACATGTTGCTAATACTATATAATTGTATATTAGTTTTGGAAAATTGTCTGTAGCGATTAATAAGTATGCTGTGTTTAAAGCAACCCAATGTAATTGGGCAGCACCCTTTTATGATAATAAAGTGATTCTCTCTCATTAAATAATATATTGTGACAGCTTATTTAAATGAATTTTTTGTTCTTGTAATTAGTCAGATTAATTAAATTTATAATTTAACATTGCAATAACGTTAGATAAAGGGGTTTAATTAATCACTAATGTATATAAATACACATAATACTACCTATACTATTTAGATAATTTTACAATTGCCATTTCTATTACATTTTAACTATATCCTGATTTTCTATTTAAAATTAATTTTTATCTGGTAATTTTTCAAAGAGCCCATAAATTTGACAAGATTAATACGAAGATAATTTATCAAAGATGAAATGAACCGTTTCTTATCTTCTTATCACAATGATGAGTTATCATTGCAATTTTTAACAAGATATTAAAATTTTGTCTTTAATATAAATAACGTTTAGTTATTAATATTAGTATATCATAATATAGATAATTTAAATAAAGTTCTCTCCTAGCTTAAAAAATAAAGGAATGTTGATCAACATAAGAGCATTGCATATAACCCCTAATATAATGAAGTTAGACTCAACATACTTGATATATTTTGGAATTTTTTTTTAATTTATTAAAACACCAAGAACGGTAAAATAGAAAAAAAAAATTGATTTTGTGAATAATATTAAAAACTGAACGATCATTTGTACACTTAAATTAAATGATCTATCTAAACATTTTTTTAAAATCCAAAGTTACCTACCTATGACCCATGCATTAATTTTAGGGTTGATTTTAATTTTTTAGCTTATATTCTCGTTGCATTAATAATGCATTGTTTTCTTTTATAAACTTTTAGATATTAAAAGACCGTTTCAATACCATAATCGTTCTCATAAAGACACAAGGATCAGCTTTTTTTTTTAAGCTGTAGAGCTGTGTGTGTGGGTGCTTGTGCAATATTAAATATTTAAATATATATGAGAAAGTAAATTAAACAGAAAAAATGGAGTTGATGACCACTGAAGTTTTACGCCACTAAACAAAAATAAACGAAAAATCTGTAAACCTCATATGGAAATGTTTCTACGATTTTTGCGGTTATCGAAAGTATCCTTCTTTATCAGTACTTTAATATTAACTTACAAATTTAACTAAATTTAATAAATTATGGCGAATGGTGAGTGAACCCAGTGACTTTAAACTATAAATTTGAAATATTCTTTTCCTAATGATAAAGAAAATAATGGTCATCTTTTGAGATCAAACTGAAATACGGCAAAGATATTAAATTATAAATAATTAATAAATAAATTTATTAACTTATATTTATTTTTTTTTAAAAACGTAATAGGCTATTTTATAAAGTATAAATTAAATTCTTATTAAATGCAATTGTAGATTTCTATTTATACGATTTGTGAATACTTTCCGATAAACCTTTTGATAAGATTTATCGGGAACCTGTAGAAGAGGTGTTTTAAGCTCATTTGTAATGTATTTGTAAGGTAAATTAACTTATTAAGTAATATTTTAATATACAATATTCAAGTAAATTCGTTAAATTATTCAAATAGATCGATTGTTACAGTTTGTTAACGTAGGAGAACCAAGATTTTATCTAAATTTTGTCAAGTTTTCATAAGATTAAGAAAACATAAGTAACCTTGTATATAAAACTATACAAAATAGTTACGTAAATATTGTATTTGTATGCGATATATTAATGGGAATTTCTCTAAACTAGTATATTTTACAGAGTAAGTTAGAAATTTAGAATAAAATGGAACCTGTATCTCAAATTTCATCAAACTTAATGTGCGTTATGTTGCTCATAAACCGCTGATATAATGCAATCTGAGGCCTGAATTATAATTTATTCTTTATTATATTTATTTACTGGTGATATTCTCCTAAAAATGGTTTATTAAATTTGGAATGAAAACTGATTAAACTCAAATAAGTAAATGTTAAGATTTTGCAAGATAATTGGAAATGTTTTGTAATGTATAGATTTTTTTTCTAATAGTTATATATTACCTCTTTCATTGCGTTTCCAAGATCATTTCTACTAATAATTCATATCCATTGCATGACAAGCGGAACGAACTAAATAGATGATCTCAGAGATGAGGCTACGAAATCGTTGCATAAGAGTTCTTGGGAACTTCGATAAACTTATATTTCATTCACTTGATATCCTAAAAGGATTGAGGAATTAATTTACAATAATTTGGTGCTGTCTATCTCGGATGAAAAACCCGTTTTGTGGCTCCAGACATCCCTCCATATTTCCTTCTCTTTTATATAGTCCATTTTAATTTATTAGGCCTTGGTAAGCGAAAGTTGCCGTCTTTGAAGGCAGATGATTTATAATTGTCAATTTTCTGAGTATTTCAATATGTTGCTAAAATACAATATCTGGATTTGTGTAGGCGTGCGTAACCTACATTGTAAGGTTATAAGATTGTGAATTGTATTATTCGAATTGATGGTTTTGTGGGAAATTTTATACATTCAGAATAATTATAAAACCATTGGGACTAATACGACAGTTATTCAGAAGAAATGGATATCTAAAAGTATTATGGCGTAGTTAAATTATTATTTATTTTTATGCCAATTTAACTAAATGCCAGCGAACCGTGATAATCAAAAAATTCTGAAACCCAAATTGTTGAAAAAAAAAAATACTGTTTGTCCTTTTGTAAATCGTGGTGAATCATAATAATTCTAAAAATTGATACTTGGATTACTTAAAAACTGCAACTTAATTAATAAACGTGAAACCTTTACGAATAATAAATTAACTACTAATTGAAAACCACGATTTTTTTCATTAGAAAAATGAGTACTTTTTGTTAAATCATTGTTATTTAATAGAATCACATAATTAATTTGAGAATAATTTTGTGAGGTAAATTTCTTCCATTCATTACAATTTATTTTTTTTAATTTAGAAATTGATATTTTAGAATGATTTGTTTAAGATTATTTTACAAATAACGGTTCAGACTTTATAAACGTTAATCACAAAGAAGTTAGATGAATTCTACTTTTGTGAAATCACAACATTTTACACGTCCGTTTTTTTTTTTTTTTTATGGTTGAAGTTCACAAAAACGTTCTTAAAACGGTTCTTCAGCTCTATCAAAAATAATATAGTGATTTTCCGTAATAAAACGGCGGCATAGAAAAACATATGTTTTTTCAAAAATATAATACCTCGAAATGTTATAACCAAGCTCATTAATAAAAAGGTTCCACTCAATATTTTAATGGAATTTTGGAATTATATATATTTATTGACACTTTTAAATTTCACTTTTCATAATGAATAAATTCATCCTGATATACTTACTCTAAAACACAAATAATTATTATCCTTTTGGAAGGAGGATCGTAGGATTCTGAAGATCGGTGGGACTTGTATTATTTTGAAACCGTAACTTACAGTTTCTCGTACGGTATCACTGGCTCCCCAACCACATCATTTCACAAGGAAGATTGTGCGTGTACTGAAGAGAAGACAGAAAGTCTGGGCGATGAGATTGGCTAGATAAAGATTTTCCACCGAGTGCTGCGTTGACCTTCGCAAGGGCAAACCGTAACCGGTTACGTAAGTAGCTACACCCAGCCCGTCCGTGATAACGCTCCTGCTAATTGTTTATGTAAGCAATTAAAAATTATTAGTCTACGTTCAGGTAGACTCCGATAATTGCAGCTGTTACGTGCGATGCCACGATATCATTCCAAGAAACATCTTAATCACCAAACATCTAACAAGCAATTTTATTTGCTATTTACAGTTATCTTTTGAAGGAAACGCCTCTTTGAAGCGAGTGGAACAATGTAGTCCAGTTTTCTAAAAACAAATAGCAAATTTATATAATATAGTATTTATAAAAAATACTATTTAATTTCATCTTCGACGTAATGTGTATACCTACTATTTATAATTTATATAGATAAAAAGCTTATTTGAACACGCTAATTATAGGAACTGCCTATCCGGATTGAAAAATTCTTTTAGCCTTAAATATAAAACGGTTATTCATAAAAAAAAAAACTTTATATAATATAACGCCAGTAGCGGATACAGGATATAAAACTAACAATAAAATAAAAACTGGATGTTCCCCAGGCAGGAGTGCCCATCCCCTCCCTTCCTATCCTCCAAGGTCGATGGTGGAAGAACCTACTTCCCCTCCTACCAAAATATTTTATTGCTCACCTTTTCTTAAAACCAGAGCAAGCTAAGATAGAATTAGATAGATCATATAAAATTACACTTGCTGTGGTATGTTGTATGTTTTGCCCCTTTTTCCTTAGTAGGAAAATTCTTAACTCGAAATTTGCTCCTCTCAAAAATTCAAAAACCCTTTAAACTATGCCCCCCTCTCAAAAATTTTGATGACGCAACATGAAACCCCCTTCTGGGCACCCCTGACCCCATCTGGATCCACGGATGATGAAAAATTACTTGACAATAGCCGGATTCAAACCCGGGACCTTGAGCCTAGCAGCCCAGTGCCTAGTAAAAAAGAGGAACAATAATGCTTTTAGGACTGATTTTTTCTCGACAGTTGCATACATTTTTAGTAGCTGTATATGTGTATGTATGTATATGTGTTATAATTGAAAATTGAGTTCACATATAGTAATTGCTTAAGTATTCAACTCAGATCACTTACAGTAACAAACATGAACCTATGAAAAATTTTTTTTTTTATATTTATAAGGACTTCAGTCCAAAAGACTCCTTATCCAACGTAACTTCGACTCCTTACGCTACGAAACATCGGAGGAACGGGGCAGTGGGGAAAACTGTAAGCTACTATGCTCCGCCAGCTTCCTTTGAATGTATCGTTTGTAAATACCATAAATAAAGGGCAAAAACAAAGTTTTAAGCATATCAGAAACGACTTAACTAGAAGATAAGAGAGCAGTGCCTTACACACCGAACTACTTCGCTCCCCAAGTGTATGAAAAAAACCAAATTCTAATTTTAACGCGGATTTAACCGCGGAGTAAAGTTAAGTGCTGGTCTTAGCTATCATGAGGAAATAATGGCCACGCGTTGGAGCGAGTTTTCAATTCCAACATGGATAAGTTGACATTTATTTCTTGGTGGTTCTAAAAAATGAATTCTAACATTCTCACTCTCACTCTGGAATATTACAAGAAATGCTGTATGCAGTATACTACTTTCCCATCAGTACTACAAGATGTGTATTATATGATCAATGGACGATGCATTTAACATTTTTAAATAATGTATTACAGTTTTCAAAAAATATCAATGATGTCATTCAAGTAAATTCTCTAAGATAAGTAGAAAGGTTGTGATTTCTAAGAAGCTATTTGTAATTCCTCTAAGTGCTACCTTCTCCGATTTAGAATGCCGAAATTGTTAGGTAAAATTATTTTATATTAATGAAACATAGATTAATTAATACTAACCAACTAAGATATTATAATAAAATATTGAAAGATAATATACAGTATTTGGGTGATAGTGATCAATGAAAGGGTATAATACACCCTTGCGGAAGCGGGTATTACATGCTCGAACTTATTCACCGTAAAAAATCGCCCTTCAGTAATGGGCTGCAAGGTTCAACGCTGACAGACCAAAGATAGCCAATCGAGCTTATCTCCGTCCTGTAGAGCGCCACAGCCTGCTCTGTATTGTCCAGTTCTACATGGTCGGGTCCATTCAGCCTCTTTTAGGGGGTCGTTTGCCCACAATAGCCAATTAAAAACCAAATTACAATAGTTTTAGAACTATAAAACTAAATCAAAAAATAACAATAATAAAAAAATTGCTACACAATAATCTATGATGGATCATTGAGAGGAAGAGCCGTTTCTGGACCAACAGTTGTGCGCGTAAATGATTTGACTAGTGTCATGGTTAAACGCTAAGTTTATCCTCTAATTAAAGATACGCACTTCTTACAGATTAGGTGTAAGCCGGCATTAATATGTTGATTGAGGATATATAATTATGTAATGTTACTGTCAAACTTTTATGTTTTTTGATTCCCTCCTTCCAGATCATTTCGTGAACAACAGCATTGAAATGCTATTGCTGACCAGTAAGCAGGATATAAAAATAACAGTAATAATGGATGGACACTGATTATGCCTATTATTATAACAAGGGGTGGAACACTCCTTCTAAACACGATGAAGAGGAAAAACGGTAGTAGTCGAATCTAAGGCAACTACTCAAAATGTGGATGTACTTAAGATATCCTATTTTTAATTGTAGATAAGAAACAGGTCACAACAATATTACCATCCAATGATTTATTTTTAAATGGAAATTATCGATCTATTAAAAAAATAACTTGTTAAATTTTGTAGTAAACTTTTTTTGGAAATTCAAGGAATAACGTTTTAGTCCGTGATAAAGACCCCTTTTTATCAAATTATTAACAACCGGCTGAAACTTCGTATATAGTTTAATCTCATCGTAACCTACAAATATTTCAGTTACGAAAATTCTCGGAATTGGGGCGTTTTCAATCTTGAGGTCGGCAAACTTTGTCTAGTCAATTATGTACCAAAAACTCGTGAATACCCATTTGCTTGCCACTTTAATCGTAAGATAAATTGAGCACAAAGTCGAGAAAAAAGGTGGTATTCAAAAATATTGAGCCGAATGGCCTATATAATCTCGTTATTTTGACAACTTGGGAGTGTAGGTCAAATGGATCAATATTTTTGAAGACTACCTTTTTTATCGATTTTGTGCTCAAATGTATTTTACGACTAAAGTGGAAATTGGTATTTACGAGTTTTTAGTACCTAATTAAATAGACAAAGTTTGGCGATCTCCAGATTGAAAACATTGGGGCGTTTTTCGCAAATAAAATATTTGTAGGTTACGATGAGATTAAGCTATTTACGAAGTTTCAGCCGGATGTTAATAATTTGGTGAAAAGCGGTCTGTACCAGAGGCTATTTCTGCTTAAGACTGTTTATTCGCTGCGGTCTATGACACTGTTATATTCCTAATCCAGAAATGGCCAGATAGATGAAAAAATGAAAAAAAACGTCATTTCTTAATTAAATGAAAACGAATGTTAAATAGACACTACCGAAATCAATATTTATCTGTTCACTGTAAGTGATCTCATAGAGGCTGAAACCAGGTGGTCATCTCATAATCAGATTTATAGTTTCAATCTGTTTTAATTTAGTAAAATTATCAGAAATAAATTTCGTACTTATTTGTTGTAGGGATACCTTAAGTTCTTAATCACTGGTATTTTCTAGATTTTTGACTAGCATGAATTTTATACGGAAAATTGAGTAAGTATAAGAATTAAGGTTAAAAATATTAAAACTTCAAAAGTACTAAGGATCAAAATTTATTTAATGGTGCACTTGATTTGATATACATGCATAATTGATTATAGTAATAATTCTTTAGGAACAAACCGGAACTAAAAAAGAGGATTGTTTCTCCGTTTCCGTTCTTTATTGAGATAGAACATTGCCCGAGAGTAAACAAGGAGCGAGTCGAATGTGCCATATCGTTCATTTCCACTTCGATTAATCCCTTTAAAATAAAAGGGGACGGGACAGGGACAACTTTCACATCGCCTGTTTGCGAAGGCATGAAAGGATTTGGCGTTGAGGAAAACCTCCACAGACACGATGAATGTATTATTTATGCGGAGCGAGCGGACAACAATACATTCCAACAGGCAGATCTTAACGGCGACAAATGTATTCTGGCTGGGTGCTAATTCACGATGCAAAAAATAGCCTCTAGTACTCATGCATTACCGATTTACATCCTATGCACTCATGTTCGAAATATTATAGGTGATAAGTTGTAAGATGTTCCAACAGATTGGTGCTTGCAACTGGGTTCAGTAGCACTATTCGGTTTTTATGTGATTTGAATTATTTGTTCAAATAAAAATAATAAAGTTAAACCTCAGACTAATACTATTACACTCACTTCTTTCAAGACGTTCATAACTAAAACAGTAACTGCACACTGACATTTACCTGAATGAGCCCGTTTGGAACTACGTTCAAGAGATTTAGGAGAGAGCGAAAAAGACGTACCACTATACTAAAACTCCATGGTACGCCACAAACATTTACATAATGACCTTCGAAATCCAACAGTTAACGATATTCTCATACGACGTATGGCCACAGTTAACATGGCCGATACATAACACCGTTAGGAGACTCAAAAGAAGCTGGATGGGTGATCTACTAGCTTAGCTATAAATATTAAATTCAAGATAGGAAGGGATAACGCTGGGAACTTCTTTTCTCGCCTATCAATGCTTTACTTCAATTATTATTCCCGACAGCAGACTTCTTGATTATAGTTTTATGGATGTGAGTACGGAAATCATGTTTAAAAAACAAAACATAATTAGCATACTGCATTTGATCACATACTGTCACAACCTCTGAAGAGTATTATATAAGGTCAGAAGATCCAACAATGAATAGATTTACACAGTAAATAAAAAAAAAATATTACAATATCAATGAATAGGTGAGGCAATAATAAACAGCCACAGATTTTCCTTTTTTTTTTTTTAATTTATTTCTTCACCTACAATGTTTTTTTTTCTATTACCCCATACCTCGCCATTTTTAGT